TGTTTTTACGTACTTTGTTTATTTACAAATTAAAATTCCTTTTTTGGGTTGTATTACCGGCACAAATAAGTAAATCCATGAGCAGGTGTCCCAGAAATTATGATAATAGCTGTAAACAAAATTATATCCGGATATAAATAACTCCGGATTTTACAGCTATTATCATTATTTCTGGGACACCTGAAGAATTTTCAGATGACCGAAATATCCTCTGTTTCATTCTGTAAATTACCTAACTTCTCGGAAATTATATTGCTGTCTCCGGATCTTCAGTCCGAATACAGCGATGTAATTTCCGGAGAGCTAGATATTTAGGTCATCTGAAAATTCTTCAGGTGTCCCAGAAATAATGATAATAGCTGTAACTCTAAGATCTAGTACACTAATGGATGTTATATTAAAGAATTGTAATTTGCCAAGAAATCTTTGGAATCGTGACTTTTTTTATGTGATAATTTTTTAAAAAAATGACGAATTTAAGGAAATTTTAAGATTTTCGTGTGATTGGTGGTCATCTGCCGATAACGGTAATTTGAAAAGCACGATGAAAATACATAAGTGACCACACATAGTTTTGATTTACATAGTTTATCGCACACTCAAATTCCGAATGCCTTAAAAGGTGTGACCTCTGCAGATATCATATCATGTAAAATTACGGGAAATTAGGCGACTTTTCGATTCTGAAGGAATTATATAGATTCCCAACTAAATACAGATATTACTGATTGAATATATGATTTATAGACAATCTAGCGCTAGAATATCCACAATTCCGGTGAAAAAAACTTTAGCAATTCCGATTTCCCAATTTCGAATGTTGTTAATTGCTTAAACCAATTTATAAAAGTCTCAATCTCTATATTAGTGATGCAGTAGAATCGTCCCAATGATTGCCATAACTAGTTACGACATAAACTTTAGCTAGTTACGGCTTAAGCCGTAACATCACACTCTATATATATAAAGATATTGCATGGATAATACATAACTAATAACACATTGAAAATAAAAGTGTGGGAAATTTACAGCCGTTTTCAATAAGATGTAGACAATGATTTTATATACCTATTATCAAGAAGTTCGGATTAGTCAAAATTAAAATCCGATTAGAGTAGCCTTGGTAACTTAGGAATTTGTAATACCTTTTTGCACAGAAATTTACGCCAAGAATACATAATGATAAAGCTTAAAATATGCTTCTTATATCAATGTGTTATCTTTTTTGGGAACGTTTTATTTTATATAATGATTTTAATTACTAAATTTCCCACACCTAGTAAATCTCTTTATATATAGCTGTTTTCAAAAAGATGTGGAATGGGCAGATCATCATACTGTATTACGGGAAATTGGATACGTATCACTTCACCGACGGTCATTTCGTAGACATAACATTTCACCGACAATAAGTCACCGACAATTATTTCACCGACAAGTTTATTCCACCGACAAGTTTATTTCACTGACAGTTTATTTCACCGAAGCTCATTTCAAATACAAGCTTTTTTTTATAAATCCCACCAACCTTAACTCTAATTCTAACCTGACCTTAACGACAATGACCAGAATTATTTTGTCGGTGAAATGAGCTTCGGTGAAATAAACTGTCGGTGAAATGAACTTGTCGGTGAAATAAACTTGTCGGTGAAATAATAGTCGGTGGATTTTTGTCGGTAAAATGTTATGTCTACGAAATGACCGTCGGTGAAGCGACCTGAACCGCGGGAAAATTCGCCAAGATTTCCAAGATTTCCCAAGTTTTCAAGACCCGCTCCAATCGGTTCCTTAATTATTACTAATTTTCAAATTCTCTGATTCCCCATATGGGTATATGGAAATCGTTTTCCACATCTTTTTGAAAACAGCTGTAAAAGGAAATTAAACTTAGTGATACGTAAACTATATTTATATTGGCGTATGATTTCCATATAAGAAGTTGAAATTTTAGATTTTTCTGTATATCGTTACGTCGGTATTATAGGGTACTTGTACTGTTAACCCCTGTAATTTAATTTATTACCTAGGAGTAATTTTAATATCATGTGAGTAACTCAATATCGGTTTTACCACAAAATCCCGACATCCAAAATCTCGAAAACCATAATCCCGACGTGACAATTAGTATTTAACGATTAGTAATCACATTAACAATTATTGTTAGACTTTAAATTTTTAATTGTCACATCGGGTGATGCCAGTATTATGGCCTGTCGAGATTTTGGATGTCGGGATTTTGTGGTAAAACCCTCAATATCATGTGATGTATTTGCAGTAATTTAATATCATATGATGTTTTAGCAGTAATGTATTACAAAAGCCAAGAATGCTAAAAGTGCTAAATGGTCTATTAGTTCTATTAGCTGCTATTATAATGTGAGTGACTCCAAAAAGAAACTAGACTTCGGATTTTCAAGTTTATATATAGTATAATAATTAATTAACAAATCGTATTTTATTAAAAGACTAAATATATACTGTATATAAAATAATTTAGTATTAAATAGTAAAAATTCCATTGAATAGACTGGGGCAAACTTATTGCAAAGGTTAGGATTAGGGTTTGGGAAGGGTTTTTGGGCGTAGAACATTTTTACTTACACCGATTAATTAGCCAGTTTATGAGATAATGTATACATAGGTGTAAAACACCATAGGTTAGGATGTTAAAATTATCTGCAGAACTAGTATCATGGCTTTTTATATACGGGTATAAGTTTCTGGCATATAATATTTGTATGTAAATAACGTTGGCCAAAAATTTCGTAGAGCTAACATATAAAATCTAGTAGTGCTGTAAAACTTACGCACTATTTAATTGCTAATGTAAAAATTACGTACATACGTACTTACGCGCATACGTACAATTTCGTATTTTTATTGAATTATTCCGAAATTTCAAACTTAATCGAATCGGCTGGAGTACCATTCGGTCAATTTTTATCAGGTGTTATGAAAATAGCAGTAAAATTCGGATTAATCCGGATTTATTTATCAATCCGGATTGAGGTGCTAACTCTATACTCAACATTCATGAATTTTCTTATTTAAAAAACAAAATATTCATTCAATGTTATTCGTGGATGACCAAAACCCGTATATATTCATTGAATAACTGTGTGAAGGATATTCAACTCTAATTTGGTGTTTATATTGTTGCGGTGTTACGTACTTGCGACTCGTGACACGAATGAGATCATTGATGCGTTATCGAGGCTCGTGATCGAAATAATTAATTAACCAAATTAAGTTATTAATTCGAAATAAATGGGATGACGATTCAAAAGTGCAGTCACTATAAATTTTTTTATTGCTTAAAAGTCGTATGCATTTCGAATTTGTGGGTACTTCATCGCCATCACCATAGTTGTGTCTGATTGTAGTTGAATAATGTAGTACCTGAACCTGAGCGATACTTAATGAGGAAAAGCAAATGAGTGAAGAAATATAGCTGCTAAGTAAATAATGAAAAATTAACGTTACTATCGACAGGAGAGCAACACACAAATAAGGAATGCATATTTGAATTATCATATTTTGTCATACAGGCCATCTTTTATTTTGGTATATCTTTGATGAGCATTGTTATCCATAATCGCTGTCGTTTTATTAATTTCCGAGAGATTCTAATCCGAAACAAGTTTTGCATTAAGACTTTCTAGCTTGAATGGATTTTTATTTGAGTCAATCCAATCATAAAAAGACTACAGTTTTCGATTTTACAGAATGATTAACGAAAAAAATGCACTTAACTATTTCTAACATGTAAAGATTAAGGGTATTAACAAATTAAAATTTAATACAAACGGCTCGATGTAATAACGATAAGAATTCAAAATATAAAAATAGGCACCGTCCTATTATGGTGTAGCTTAAATGAACTGTGATATAAACTATGATATATATAGATTAGTAGCTCGATCACAGAAAATCCGTAGGAAAATTTGTCCGTAATACAGTGCAAGGAACAAAAACCTTTCATAAAAGAAAATAATTTGTCATATTAAGTATTATCACTCATACACGCACGATGTACGGATGTACTGTACATCGTAGTATTTACGTATATGGTATTACTATAATTAGATTTTCATTATTTATAAAAGTAGACTTTAGGATCTGATATAATTGTTGTACATTTAATTAAAAATCGATGTCTAGCCATAAAAAACAACTAGTTTTTTTTTCGATTTTGATATCTTTTTTGTAAGCTTGAAAGATGTCTCAAGTTTTGGAATTTAATGAATTAGAAGAGAATAATTTGAAGCTCGATAAAGAAAATTCTACAAATCATGTGGAAAATAATGATTCAAAACTCAATAAAGAGAATTTTGCAAATCAAGTAGCAACAAATGATTCAACGCTCATTAATGAAGAATCTGGACATGAAGACGTATCTAATAGAAATGAGGTTTTAGATAATGATCAAATACATACGGAACTGTCTAAAATTCAATTTGGTTTTGTCTTCCTCGGGTATTTGTTTAATTAATCTTTAAAAAGTGGTACGGCCTTTCATATATTCGACAAACATTTAATTGTTCGTCTTTGTATAAAGTCTATGTTTTGCCATGTTCATGGCTGCTTTAGATCAAACTATTGTTACAACTGCTTTACCAAAGATCATAATAGATTTCGCTTCTGTTGATAAAATTGTGTGGGTTGGAACTGCTTATTTGCTCACCGCGGTAACCTATCAATTACTGTTTTTTTTTTCTTTTTTAATGCGACTATTATTATAATAAATTTGAATGATAATTCATTTACATTAAATTAATATATTAGACTTCCTTCCAACCAGCTTACGGAAAACTTGCTGATATCTTTGGTCGAAAAATTACATTTTTAACTGCAATGGTTCTTTTTGAAGTGGGTAGCATCTTGTGTGGTACATCTTATAGTATGAATATGCTAATAACTTCTCGAGCGTTGGCTGGCCTTGGTAAATTAAACTATCAGTGTTTATGTTTTAATTAAATTTTGTGTTTTTCAAATAAGAATCTTTTACTTTCTTTAATAGGTGGTGGTGGTATATTTGGGTATGTGTAATTTAATAATTTAATAGAATATTGTATTCATTAAATGTGTCTTGTTCCTAAAATAAGTTCTTTATTCATGTAGAACAGTATTAATTATACTTGCAGACATTGTTTCAGTTAAAGATCGTGGTAAATATCAAGGACTTATCGGTGCTGTTTTCATTATTGCATCCATCACAAGCCCAATAATTGGTGGATTATTTGCAGATAATGATCATTTGGGTTGGAGGTATATGATATGACCTTTTTTTTATAGCTTAAAATTTTATGTTCTTGGTATTTAATCATAACTTCAACCTTTTTTTTTTCTTGTAGATGGGCATTTTATATCAATGTACCGATAGGTGCAGTATCGATATTTTGTATTCTGTTCTTTTTTAAATCGTCAAGAACAAATGATTCTTTCTACGAAAAGATTAATCGCATTGATTGGTTGGGTTCTTTGCTGATTACATGTTCAATGATGGCATTTCTACTACCTCTTAGTTGGGGTGGTGTTACATATCCGTGGAACTCTCCCATTATTATTTCTTTATTAGTTGTTGGTGTGGTTATATTGGCTTTATTTATCTACGTGGAAGGATTTGTTGCGCCTGAACCTCTCGCCCCTGGTAAAATTAAAATGTATTTCTTAAAGAGTACTCATTAAAAAGAAACCTCTAATATTGTTCTTTCATTTTTAGGTCATTTATTTAAAGACCGTAATATAGTTGCTTGCTTTTGTGTTAATTATTGCCTTGGTTTGATATTTTTTTCGATAATATATTTTCTACCGATATACTTTGAAATTGTCAACGAAGATTCAGGTATTTTATAAATAATATATCGAATGAATTCCCACAAAACTCCTTGAAGATTTCCTTGAAAATTCATAAATTTCTTTTCTTATAGCTACTATGTCTGGCTTAAAACTTCTTCCTTACATTGTGGGTGCTGTCATCACAGTTTTATTATCTGGATTCATAGTTTCACATACAAACATAATTTCGTATAAAGTAATTTGTATATTTGGTGGTATATTGACCACTATTGGTACTGGATTAATAACTTTATTTAATGTGGATACAACTCCTGGTCAAGTAATTGGTTACTTATTAATTAGCGGGTTGGGAGCTGGTGCTGTCATGCAAACAGTATTTTTGGCTGGTCAAGCTTCCGTAAAACATGAAGATGTTGCGGCTGTTACTTCTTTGATAACGTTTTTCAGAACTAGTAAGTCCTTTATTATCTTTAGTTTATTCTTTATTAGTGTCTTTTTTCTAATAATTATTTTATTGTACAGTTGGTGCTGTATTCGGTTTAGGAATTGTAGCTGCAGTATTTGCATCCGGTTTTTCGGATCAAATAAAAATAACTGCTGCCGTTCCTCAGGCACTTAAGAATTATCATAATCTTCCGGAGATTTTTAAATTAGGAACGAAGAAACGGCTTGTATCGTCGTTAAGTGTCTCATTTAGAACAGGAATTGCATTTGGATTGTTGCTAGTGATATCAGCTGTGTTTATTAAAGATGAAAAAAATACAAAAGCAAAAGAAGTTATCGTCATATTTATCAACTGTTTTTGTCAGAAATAAGAAAAAAGCAAAGACAGAAGAGAATGAAGCTGTATAAATAGAAATTATGCATGTTTTTAAGTTAAAAAAATTTTTTGTTTTAATTAATTTTACCTATAATATTATTCCGTCGAAATTTAATAAAATATTAATAGTAGCAAGTTAAAGTTTTTCCTATTATTGCTAATAATTTTTTCAACACAAATTATGAGCTTATTTATTTATTGGGTTTCAATAATATAAAAATAATTTCTCCAGTTCTAAAATTAAACAATTCATTAAAATCGGCCTAGCAATTGTACGAGCATTTTATTATAACAACTGACTCTGTACCAAATTCTTATAACTAATTAAAAGGTTCAATATAAATATTATTCTCATTCTGATTTCCATTACAATATATATTTCACTTAGTCAATTTGATTTAGCCAATTTCTGTATTTAAGCAAAATTTTCACTTCTAGAAATCTATATAATTCGAAACTATCTTAGAAATGACTAACCATTTGCAGTGTTTAAGGTAATTCCTGTGTTATATCTTTTTAATTTTTCACACAATTATAGTATTAATACAGTAATTTTTATCTGTAGAGCGTTATAAATTTTTGTAAAAAAATGTAATAAAACTAAGATTGTGATTTATTTTATAGCGCTATAGCACTATAATGTCATAGCTCAATAGCACTATAATGTCATAGCTCTGTAGTGCTATAATTTTACATATTACATGTTTAATTTATTTATTTATATTACTACAAAATTTATTAATTAATTTTCAATTATTCATTGTTTGCGCCGTTAAAAGATTACTGGTACGTAACGGGCGTCTAGTAGAAAATACCAACTGTTTATAGTACTTTATTACGGATCCCACCTTAAACTCCAACTCAAATGCTAATCTAACTCAAAACATAACCTTTATCTCTAACCGCTATTATACCATAATCGAATCCTAACCTAAATGTTATCGCGTTATAGAGAAATTCACCTCTATCTGTTAAGAAATGCATATAACAAACACCAATTTTAATCCTTGCAATTCTACGACGCCGCCCACATCGAAAAAATTCACTACCAACCGCGTTATTCAAGAAACCTGAAACCATCATCAATAACCGAAAAATCACACAGCAAATCTAGAAATGGACATTAACCAAAATGGTGATAACGAAGAATGAAGTGAGAAACAAAGAACAGCAACACCGAAGACGAAGCACCAGCAGAATAACATGAAGACACTAACATATTAACGCTTCAGCCCCCAAATTAATAGCTCCAGCAAATGGTGACATGAGAGAAAAAAAAATCAGTAAAAAAGAAACAGAGACACTAACATAGAAAAAAATAGTTACCAAAAAAATAAACAGCGACACTAATATACTAACACCACAATCACAACCAACTAAAATGCAGTCAGCACCAGCAAATGATAAGGAGAACACCATCAAACGACGACAACACAAGACACTGGAGAAAACACGCAAAAGAAAGAATTAGCTTAGTAGAAAGAAATGAAAACACTAACATAAAACATCACAAACACAACCAACCAAAACAATGATGCAAAGGAGGTTACCAGAAAATGATGATGATGTCAGAACTAGAGTTGCTGGTGCTGACTGCATTTTAGTTGGTTGTGATTGTGGTGTTAGTATATTAGTGTCGCTGTTTATTTTTTTGGTAACTATTTTTTTCTATGTTAGTGTCTCTGTTTCTTTTTTACTGATTTTTTTTTCTCTCATGTCACCATTTGCTGGAGCTATTAATTTGGGGGCTGAAGCGTTAATATGTTAGTGTCTTCATGTTATTCTGCTGGTGCTTCGTCTTCGGTGTTGCTGTTCTTTGTTTCTCACTTCATTCTTCGTTATCACCATTTTGGTTAATGTCCATTTCTAGATTTGCTGTGTGATTTTTCGGTTATTGATGATGGTTTCAGGTTTCTTGAATAACGCGGTTGGTAGTGAATTTTTTCGATGTGGGCGGCGTCGTAGAATTGCAAGGATTAAAATTGGTGTTTGTTATATGCATTTCTTAACAGATAGAGGTGAATTTCTCTATAACGCGATAACATTTAGGTTAGGATTCGATTATGGTATAATAGCGGTTAGAGATAAAGGTTATGTTTTGAGTTAGATTAGCATTTGAGTTGGAGTTTAAGGTGGGATCCGTAATAAAGTACTATAAACAGTTGGTATTTTCTACTAGACGCCCGTTACGTACCAGTAATCTTTTAACGGCGCAAACAATGAATAATTGAAAATTAATTAATAAATTTTGTAGTAATATAAATAAATAAATTAAACATGTAATATGTAAAATTATAGCACTACAGAGCTATGACATTATAGTGCTATTGAGCTATGACATTATAGTGCTATAGCGCTATAAAATAAATCACAATCTTAGTTTTATTACATTTTTTTACAAAAATTTATAACGCTCTACAGATAAAAATTACTGTATTAATACTATAATTGTGTGAAAAATTAAAAAGATATAACACAGGAATTACCTTAAACACTGCAAATGGTTAGTCATTTCTAAGATAGTTTCGAATTATATAGATTTCTAGAAGTGAAAATTTTGCTTAAATACAGAAATTGGCTAAATCAAATTGACTAAGTGAAATATATATTGTAATGGAAATCAGAATGAGAATAATATTTATATTGAACCTTTTAATTAGTTATAAGAATTTGGTACAGAGTCAGTTGTTATAATAAAATGCTCGTACAATTGCTAGGCCGATTTTAATGAATTGTTTAATTTTAGAACTGGAGAAATTATTTTTATATTATTGAAACCCAATAAATAAATAAGCTCATAATTTGTGTTGAAAAAATTATTAGCAATAATAGGAAAAACTTTAACTTGCTACTATTAATATTTTATTAAATTTCGACGGAATAATATTATAGGTAAAATTAATTAAAACAAAAAATTTTTTTAACTTAAAAACATGCATAATTTCTATTTATACAGCTTCATTCTCTTCTGTCTTTGCTTTTTTCTTATTTCTGACAAAAACAGTTGATAAATATGACGATAACTTCTTTTGCTTTTGTATTTTTTTCATCTTTAATAAACACAGCTGATATCACTAGCAACAATCCAAATGCAATTCCTGTTCTAAATGAGACACTTAACGACGATACAAGCCGTTTCTTCGTTCCTAATTTAAAAATCTCCGGAAGATTATGATAATTCTTAAGTGCCTGAGGAACGGCAGCAGTTATTTTTATTTGATCCGAAAAACCGGATGCAAATACTGCAGCTACAATTCCTAAACCGAATACAGCACCAACTGTACAATAAAATAATTATTAGAAAAAAGACACTAATAAAGAATAAACTAAAGATAATAAAGGACTTACTAGTTCTGAAAAACGTTATCAAAGAAGTAACAGCCGCAACATCTTCATGTTTTACGGAAGCTTGACCAGCCAAAAATACTGTTTGCATGACAGCACCAGCTCCCAACCCGCTAATTAATAAGTAACCAATTACTTGACCAGGAGTTGTATCCACATTAAATAAAGTTATTAATCCAGTACCAATAGTGGTCAATATACCACCAAATATACAAATTACTTTATACGAAATTATGTTTGTATGTGAAACTATGAATCCAGATAATAAAACTGTGATGACAGCACCCACAATGTAAGGAAGAAGTTTTAAGCCAGACATAGTAGCTATAAGAAAAGAAATTTATGAATTTTCAAGGAAATCTTCAAGGAGTTTTGTGGGAATTCATTCGATATATTATTTATAAAATACCTGAATCTTCGTTGACAATTTCAAAGTATATCGGTAGAAAATATATTATCGAAAAAAATATCAAACCAAGGCAATAATTAACACAAAAGCAAGCAACTATATTACGGTCTTTAAATAAATGACCTAAAAATGAAAGAACAATATTAGAGGTTTCTTTTTAATGAGTACTCTTTAAGAAATACATTTTAATTTTACCAGGGGCGAGAGGTTCAGGCGCAACAAATCCTTCCACGTAGATAAATAAAGCCAATATAACCACACCAACAACTAATAAAGAAATAATAATGGGAGAGTTCCACGGATATGTAACACCACCCCAACTAAGAGGTAGTAGAAATGCCATCATTGAACATGTAATCAGCAAAGAACCCAACCAATCAATGCGATTAATCTTTTCGTAGAAAGAATCATTTGTTCTTGACGATTTAAAAAAGAACAGAATACAAAATATCGATACTGCACCTATCGGTACATTGATATAAAATGCCCATCTACAAGAAAAAAAAAAGGTTGAAGTTATGATTAAATACCAAGAACATAAAATTTTAAGCTATAAAAAAAAGGTCATATCATATACCTCCAACCCAAATGATCATTATCTGCAAATAATCCACCAATTATTGGGCTTGTGATGGATGCAATAATGAAAACAGCACCGATAAGTCCTTGATATTTACCACGATCTTTAACTGAAACAATGTCTGCAAGTATAATTAATACTGTTCTACATGAATAAAGAACTTATTTTAGGAACAAGACACATTTAATGAATACAATATTCTATTAAATTATTAAATTACACATACCCAAATATACCACCACCACCTATTAAAGAAAGTAAAAGATTCTTATTTGAAAAACACAAAATTTAATTAAAACATAAACACTGATAGTTTAATTTACCAAGGCCAGCCAACGCTCGAGAAGTTATTAGCATATTCATACTATAAGATGTACCACACAAGATGCTACCCACTTCAAAAAGAACCATTGCAGTTAAAAATGTAATTTTTCGACCAAAGATATCAGCAAGTTTTCCGTAAGCTGGTTGGAAGGAAGTCTAATATATTAATTTAATGTAAATGAATTATCATTCAAATTTATTATAATAATAGTCGCATTAAAAAAGAAAAAAAAAACAGTAATTGATAGGTTACCGCGGTGAGCAAATAAGCAGTTCCAACCCACACAATTTTATCAACAGAAGCGAAATCTATTATGATCTTTGGTAAAGCAGTTGTAACAATAGTTTGATCTAAAGCAGCCATGAACATGGCAAAACATAGACTTTATACAAAGACGAACAATTAAATGTTTGTCGAATATATGAAAGGCCGTACCACTTTTTAAAGATTAATTAAACAAATACCCGAGGAAGACAAAACCAAATTGAATTTTAGACAGTTCCGTATGTATTTGATCATTATCTAAAACCTCATTTCTATTAGATACGTCTTCATGTCCAGATTCTTCATTAATGAGCGTTGAATCATTTGTTGCTACTTGATTTGCAAAATTCTCTTTATTGAGTTTTGAATCATTATTTTCCACATGATTTGTAGAATTTTCTTTATCGAGCTTCAAATTATTCTCTTCTAATTCATTAAATTCCAAAACTTGAGACATCTTTCAAGCTTACAAAAAAGATATCAAAATCGAAAAAAAAACTAGTTGTTTTTTATGGCTAGACATCGATTTTTAATTAAATGTACAACAATTATATCAGATCCTAAAGTCTACTTTTATAAATAATGAAAATCTAATTATAGTAATACCATATACGTAAATACTACGATGTACAGTACATCCGTACATCGTGCGTGTATGAGTGATAATACTTAATATGACAAATTATTTTCTTTTATGAAAGGTTTTTGTTCCTTGCACTGTATTACGGACAAATTTTCCTACGGATTTTCTGTGATCGAGCTACTAATCTATATATATCATAGTTTATATCACAGTTCATTTAAGCTACACCATAATAGGACGGTGCCTATTTTTATATTTTGAATTCTTATCGTTATTACATCGAGCCGTTTGTATTAAATTTTAATTTGTTAATACCCTTAATCTTTACATGTTAGAAATAGTTAAGTGCATTTTTTTCGTTAATCATTCTGTAAAATCGAAAACTGTAGTCTTTTTATGATTGGATTGACTCAAATAAAAATCCATTCAAGCTAGAAAGTCTTAATGCAAAACTTGTTTCGGATTAGAATCTCTCGGAAATTAATAAAACGACAGCGATTATGGATAACAATGCTCATCAAAGATATACCAAAATAAAAGATGGCCTGTATGACAAAATATGATAATTCAAATATGCATTCCTTATTTGTGTGTTGCTCTCCTGTCGATAGTAACGTTAATTTTTCATTATTTACTTAGCAGCTATATTTCTTCACTCATTTGCTTTTCCTCATTAAGTATCGCTCAGGTTCAGGTACTACATTATTCAACTACAATCAGACACAACTATGGTGATGGCGATGAAGTACCCACAAATTCGAAATGCATACGACTTTTAAGCAATAAAAAAATTTATAGTGACTGCACTTTTGAATCGTCATCCCATTTATTTCGAATTAATAACTTAATTTGGTTAATTAATTATTTCGATCACGAGCCTCGATAACGCATCAATGATCTCATTCGTGTCACGAGTCGCAAGTACGTAACACCGCAACAATATAAACACCAAATTAGAGTTGAATATCCTTCACACAGTTATTCAATGAATATATACGGGTTTTGGTCATCCACGAATAACATTGAATGAATATTTTGTTTTTTAAATAAGAAAATTCATGAATGTTGAGTATAGAGTTAGCACCTCAATCCGGATTGATAAATAAATCCGGATTAATCCGAATTTTACTGCTATTTTCATAACACCTGATAAAAATTGACCGAATGGTACTCCAGCCGATTCGATTAAGTTTGAAATTTCGGAATAATTCAATAAAAATACGAAATTGTACGTATGCGCGTAAGTACGTATGTACGTAATTTTTACATTAGCAATTAAATAGTGCGTAAGTTTTACAGCACTACTAGATTTTATATGTTAGCTCTACGAAATTTTTGGCCAACGTTATTTACATACAAATATTATATGCCAGAAACTTATACCCGTATATAAAAAGCCATGATACTAGTTCTGCAGATAATTTTAACATCCTAACCTATGGTGTTTTACACCTATGTATACATTATCTCATAAACTGGCTAATTAATCGGTGTAAGTAAAAATGTTCTACGCCCAAAAACCCTTCCCAAACCCTAATCCTAACCTTTGCAATAAGTTTGCCCCAGTCTATTCAATGGAATTTTTACTATTTAATACTAAATTATTTTATATACAGTATATATTTAGTCTTTTAATAAAATACGATTTGTTAATTAATTATTATACTATATATAAACTTGAAAATCCGAAGTCTAGTTTCTTTTTGGAGTCACTCACATTATAATAGCAGCTAATAGAACTAATAGACCATTTAGCACTTTTAGCATTCTTGGCTTTTGTAATACATTACTGCTAAAACATCATATGATATTAAATTACTGCAAATACATCACATGATATTGAGGGTTTTACCACAAAATCCCGACATCCAAAATCTCGACAGGCCATAATACTGGCATCACCCGATGTGACAATTAAAAATTTAAAGTCTAACAATAATTGTTAATGTGATTACTAATCGTTAAATACTAATTGTCACGTCGGGATTATGGTTTTCGAGATTTTGGATGTCGGGATTTTGTGGTAAAACCGATATTGAGTTACTCACATGATATTAAAATTACTCCTAGGTAATAAATTAAATTACAGGGGTTAACAGTACAAGTACCCTATAATACCGACGTAACGATATACAGAAAAATCTAAAATTTCAACTTCTTATATGGAAATCATACGCCAATATAAATATAGTTTACGTATCACTAAGTTTAATTTCCTTTTACAGCTGTTTTCAAAAAGATGTGGAAAACGATTTCCATATACCCATATGGGGAATCAGAGAATTTGAAAATTAGTAATAATTAAGGAACCGATTGGAGCGGGTCTTGAAAACTTGGGAAATCTTGGAAATCTTGGCGAATTTTCCCGCGGTTCAGGTCGCTTCACCGACGGTCATTTCGTAGACATAACATTTTACCGACAAAAATCCACCGACTATTATTTCACCGACAAGTTTATTTCACCGACAAGTTCATTTCACCGACAGTTTATTTCACCGAAGCTCATTTCACCGACAAAATAATTCTGGTCATTGTCGTTAAGGTCAGGTTAGAATTAGAGTTAAGGTTGGTGGGATTTATAAAAAAAAGCTTGTATTTGAAATGAGCTTCGGTGAAATAAACTGTCAGTGAAATAAACTTGTCGGTGGAATAAACTTGTCGGTGAAATAATTGTCGGTGACTTATTGTCGGTGAAATGTTATGTCTACGAAATGACCGTCGGTGAAGTGATACGTATCCAATTTCCCGTAATACAGTATGATGATCTGCCCATTCCACATCTTTTTGAAAACAGCTATATATAAAGAGATTTACTAGGTGTGGGAAATTTAGTAATTAAAATCATTATATAAAATAAAACGTTCCCAAAAAAGATAACACATTGATATAAGAAGCATATTTTAAGCTTTATCATTATGTATTCTTGGCGTAAATTTCTGTGCAAAAAGGTATTACAAATTCCTAAGTTACCAAGGCTACTCTAATCGGATTTTAATTTTGACTAATCCGAACTTCTTGATAATAGGTATATAAAATCATTGTCTACATCTTATTGAAAACGGCTGTAAATTTCCCACACTTTTATTTTCAATGTGTTATTAGTTATGTATTATCCATGCAATATCTTTATATATATAGAGTGTGATGTTACGGCTTAAGCCGTAACTAGCTAAAGTTTATGTCGTAACTAGTTATGGCAATCATTGGGACGATTCTACTGCATCACTAATATAGAGATTGAGACTTTTATAAATTGGTTTAAGCAATTAACAACATTCGAAATTGGGAAATCGGAATTGCTAAAGTTTTTTTCACCGGAATTGTGGATATTCTAGCGCTAGATTGTCTATAAATCATATATTCAATCAGTAATATCTGTATTTAGTTGGGAATCTATATAATTCCTTCAGAATCGAAAAGTCGCCTAATTTCCCGTAATTTTACATGATATGATATCTGCAGAGGTCACACCTTTTAAGGCATTCGGAATTTGAGTGTGCGATAAACTATGTAAATCAAAACTATGTGTGGTCACTTATGTATTTTCATCGTGCTTTTCAAATTACCGTTATCGGCAGATGACCACCAATCACACGAAAATCTTAAAATTTCCTTAAATTCGTCATTTTTTTAAAAAATTATCACATAAAAAAAGTCACGATTCCAAAGATTTCTTGGCAAATTACAATTCTTTAATATAACATCCATTAGTGTACTAGATCTTAGAGTTACAGCTATTATCATTATTTCTGGGACACCTGAAGAATTTTCAGATGACCTAAATATCTAGCTCTCCGGAAATTACATCGCTGTATTCGGACTGAAGATCCGGAGACAGCAATATAATTTCCGAGAAGTTAGGTAATTTACAGAATGAAACAGAGGATATTTCGGTCATCTGAAAATTCTTCAGGTGTCCCAGAAATAATGATAATAGCTGTAAAATCCGGAGTTATTTATATCCGGATATAATTTTGTTTACAGCTATTATCATAATTTCTGGGACACCTGCTCATGGATTTACTTATTTGTGCCGGTAATACAACCCAAAAAAGGAATTTTAATTTGTAAATAAACAAAGTACGTAAAAACA